CTTTCCTTTTGTTGCCAACGCTTTGGGCAATAGTAATTAAATACTACGTTTTAGAAGTGTTCTCAGGAAGAGTTTTATGGCCCAGACATGATACTTCTGCAGTTTGGGCTGAGACACACAGTATCGTTGGACTAATCTCACGGGTGTGAATCCAGAGTGATTGCATCCCTGTCAAATCTATACAGGCACAGGAGGGATCAGAAGTTGGCGCTCCGCGGCTCGGTTGTGCCTCAGCGACTTCAGCTCGTTTGCCAGCAGGCTGAGGGTATAGTTTTGCAGCGCGTTGGCTTTGGCAGGGAGCTCGGCCTAAGAAGGTCCGGTTTCCTGCGCTTTTGGTGCGCCGCCCCCTCACTTGGGCTGCAACAACTGCTCATGCTCTTCTGCTGTAAGCATCGAGTTCAGCAGATTATTTTCAATCTGGGTCACTGCAGTGACTTAGCTCGCGGCGCAACCTCACAGAAAGGTGTAGGGACACAACAGGAGTGCCGCGACGGCCCCTGAGCGCAGCAGGTCGGAGGAAGGTGCAGGAGACCTCAGTGTATCCCAAAAGCTCCCCGTGAGCTTTCAGTGGGTTCCCAAAGTAACACAAGAAAAGCATGTTGTGCTGAACAGCCATGAAACTACTTTGAATCAGCTGATGGCTGACCGTTTCTCCAGTAAACAAACTGCATAAAGTATATCCTGAAGTGCCTTTTCAGTCCGCGGCATTAGGGTGAAGAAGACCTTCTTTTAATGAAGTAATTGTTATTTAATAGTTTTTATCAGTGTCGGGGGAATTTCGGGCCTCACTTATACTACAAAAGCTTGGTGGTAAGCAACAATGGCATGGTTTGATCGGTAAGTGTTCCTCGGGGAGGTACAGTGTATGGCAGTTTCCCAAAACCACAATAAACTACCTGGCACAAGTATTCCTTTGTCTTCCCTCCCTTCCCAGCGTATAAAGGCTTTGGCCAGCGTAGTTATGTCAGCTAAGGGTGTGATATTTTTTCTCACTCCTAATTGACACATTCGTGCCAGCAAAACTTCACAAGTAGTCCAACCTCAGGTGGGTTTTTTTTGTTTGGGTTTTGATTGTTTTGGGGTTTTTTTTCAGCTGGTATCACTATGGTAGGTGGAGAATTTGTCTTTGCTTGTTCAGGCCAGGATATTTAGCCAAACCTGCCTTTCTGCGGAAAATCAGTCCCTGCTCTTTCTAGGAAAGCCTCTGTTTCTTGCTAAACAATTTGTTTTACAGCGGTTGAATCTGAGATGGAAAGTAATACAGATAAATGTTAGGGGGTTTTGTTTAGTTTTGTTTGCCTTTCAGTTGGTAATTCAGCAGCATCTCTGACTGTAGCAACCATGTAAAATTGTCTGGTAGTAATGCTGCTTTATCGTCTGAATTTATGTCTGTGTCACTTGTCAACCTGAACACCTCACATGGAGACACAAGCTGAACGGTTCAGATTTATCATATCCCCACTTTCTTGGTGGGACGATAGAGGAAGGTAGAAAAGGGCTAATTAGTTTATTCACATCTCCTTAGTTTGTAACAATTTTAGATTTGTTTCTGGTCTAAACCTTGTGCCTTGATTCCGTAATTTCCTTCCATTCCCTGATTCTGGGTTCTTCAAGATTGGCAAATGGCTGTAGGAGCTTAGGACCACTACGTGCTCTGCAGCCAGAGCGCACTGCTTGCTGTAGCTGGTACTGCGACCGGTGGGACAGCAAAGGTTTGGGACCAGGGTTTTGGAGCAGAAAACATTTATTCTGCGGGATTCTTGGTAGCAACCTTGGCACCGGTGCCTATCCAGAAACTGGGACTGCTGTGCTAGCTTCATCTAAACCGAAATGCACCAGAAACTAAACCTCTCTTAGGATGCATGGCTGGTTTGAGGGTCAAATGATGCCAGAGGACTTGGAAGCAGGATAGAAGGCGTTTCACCTGTTATTGCTGTTGGCAGACAGACAGCATACCTGACGGCCTCCTGAGCTCTTGCAGCTCATAAGGATACTTTATCCTTATCAGACACCTACTTGCTTTTTTGTTCTTTTTTATAACCTGTCAGCAAAGAGATGACTGCTTGGATTTTCTCGCTGTTCTCTCTTCTTCCCCACCCCGGAGAAGCCTAACTCCTATCAGTGAATCATTCTCACGTAGGTATAAAACTCTGGAGTCAGTGTAGCCTGAGAAACCCTCATACCGAGTAGGCAGTGATTCAGAGAAGAGC